GGGGTCCGGTCGTGGGGCCTGAGTGCTGTCCCTCAGCTCTTCAGCTCAAGGCTAGAGCTCTACCACTTGAGCCATAGCGCCACTTCCGGTTTGTTTTTTTCTTCTGCTTATGTGGTGCTGAGGAATTGAACCAAGGGCCTCATGCATGCAAGGCAAGTGCTCTACCACTGAGCCACCTTCCCAGCCCTCCCCAAGACTCTTATCTCCAATTAACCACTAGAAAACCAGAAGTGGAGCTGTGGCTCAAATGGTACAGTGCTAACCTTGAGTGAAAGAGCTCAAGGGACAGAGCCCAAGCTCTGAGTTCAAGCCCCACAACCAACAACAACAACAAAAAAGGTTCTTACGGTAACAGAAAATCACAGTGTCTATAAACTCAGAAAAATAGTATTTAAAATGCAGACATGGGTCTTATTCAACAAATAACTGTTAAAAATCTGAAAGTTACCTTGGTTAGGAAAGTGATAAAGAAAAATTTAGAAAAACTATTAAAACAAAATTATTTTACTTGGGCTGGGAAGGTGGCTCAGTGGTAGAGTGCTTGCCTTGCATGCCTGAGTCCCTGGGTTTGATTCCTCAGCACCACATAAGCAAAAAGAAAAAAGCCAGAAATGGGGCTGTGGCTCAAGTGGTAGAGCGCTAGACTTGAGCTGAAGAGCTGAGGGACAGCACCCAGGCTCAGAGTTCAGGCCCCACGACCAGGACCCCCCCCCCAAAAAAAATTAATTTACTTACCTGAAGATATAACTCATATAATTTGGATTCCAGATATAACGACCGTGGGTTTGAAAATTTAGAGAAAACTTGCAAATGAGCAATTAATTGCCTAAATAAAAAAAAATAAGTATTGTAGAATTAAAGACCAGAGATTATTTTATCAGAATGTTATTACCCACAATTTTACTCTATGACAAGTGCTTCAAATATTACAAATAAATTCACTGTTCAATTATACAGATTTTATCCTCCCTCCTTTCCTTTCTTTCTTTCATATAACATAGATATTTACATTAGGAAAAAGAGGTCCAAGGTGAGGCAACAATGACTCTTCTTTCCCATGAAGGAAAAAGTAACAATTATGTTCTGTGGTTGAAAGTCAAACACAAAGACAGGAGTGCCCAGAGCAGATGACATCACCCACTTAAACAGACAGAGAAGACTGTCTGCATTAACTTGCTCAACTTCCTAGTCCACACACAGACTCCTGCAGAATTTACAACTGCTTTGAGAGAATTCTTTCCTTTCTGGGTATCATGTTAGATATATTAGAAACTTAAGGAAAAAAATCAGAATAAACAAGTCTAAAATTTCAATAAGTTTTATTTGCCTATCTGAACATAAGTGAAGAAAGGTGGGGAGAAGCAGGAAACAAGCTACATTTAGGGATTAGAAAAAGCTATTTAATGTGCTAGAAGCTCAGTTTCTGTATTTTTATAAAGACAGAACTTTCTGGTTTTTTTGTGAGGATTAAATCAGAGTGAAAATTGTGGTATCTCTCTAACTCTGAGCCAAGTAAGGCAAAACCGTGAAAATCCTATTAATTAGCATAGAGAAAATAAGCCAGAAATAATGAATTCTCTAAATTGTAAATTTTTAAATTTTCTATTGAAATATCTACTCCTTTCTCTAATATTTAGAAGCACTTGATGGGTCACATGGACTTGAAGAATCAAAGAGAACAAGAGCTGACTTGAATGTTTTCAAAAAATAACTTTTTTTCTTTTGCCAGTCCTAGGGTTGAATTCCGGGCCTAGTCACTGTCTCTGAACTTCTTTTCTTTTGCTCAAGGCTAGCATTCTACCACTTAAGCCACAATGCCACTTCTGGCTTTTTCTGCTTATATGGTACTGAGGAATCGAACCCAGAGCTTCATGCATGCTAGACAAGTACTCTAAAAATAAGCCAAATTCCCAGCTCTCAAAAAATTACTTCTAAAGGGCTATTTCATGAAGCATCATAAATGTGGGCTATGTGGCACTAAGAATGTGATTATCAATTCATTCATTTTTGCAATGATGGTATCTAATGGCCATTTTAGGTGTGACTACAGAGGAAAGACTAAGACCTAGTCCTAACTCTTTAAGAATTTATTTCATGGAAGAGCTATTTTTTTAAAAAATGCCTATGACAATGAGTGGTTCCATGATAGATGTATGAACATTTATTACAAAAGTCTGAAATCAAGTAAGAGAACTATCACTTTAAAAAGAACGTGTGCAAAGGTCTAGGGGCGAAAAAGCCAGAGGGATGACTGGATAAATGGCTTATTCACTGTTTCAACAAACACATAACTAGGGCTATCCTTTCTAGGTATTATGCTGATGAAAATACCTCAAGAAATACTCCAAGAGAAAACAGCAACCTTTGTTTTAACGTAGTAGGGAACAGAATGTTCAGAGCTGTGAGAGGCAGAGAACTAGTTACAGTAGCTTAGCCATGACCTTTCCAGGCCCTGGGCTTTGGACGCTATTTCCATTAGTTGGTAAATGAGTCCTCCACTGTCCAAGACCAGCAAACTCTCATCTCCCTTGCATAAAGGCTTCCCTGCACCTTTGCGGTAGAAACAAGTAGTTCTTTACACGTATTTCAGCAATAAAATATTGTGCCAGGCTTTTGACTGCAACCCCTATTTTGCAGACCCTGTGCACAATTAATTACTGAAGTGCAACACTTAGCAAAAGGCACTTGGTACAGGTGCAGAATGGATGAATCAACAGTTGTTTTATGTTGAAATAGTCAACAAATGACATCTAAGTTTTAAAAGAAGAGACTATTACTTATTTAGTGGACCTCAGAGACCTTAATTTAGGCAATCTTCAAGTTAGGTGGAACAGCTAGTAAAAACATGATCAGTTTTTTTTTTTTTTTTAGGTCTTTAATAACATAAGTAAATGAATAACCAAGAGAATGAGAAGGTACAAAAGCATGAGAAAAAAGTAACCAGTAGGAAGTAAGTCCAAGGTATAGTGCTGACATGCTTATTTGCAAGAGAAGAGCTATTCCACTATGTGTTCCCCTGGCACACAACTGTAATGACCCAATGCTGTGAAAGAAGACAGCAAAGGTCAGAGAATATGCAGTACCTTGAGCTCCAATGCAATCTTTCAATGGGGCTATGATAAAAAGGAGCTACCTCAAAGGTTCTTCCAATTCTTACTTTTTGTGCCTAACCAATAAAAGACAGAGGCAGGGTAGTTGTTACAGGCAGCTGGGCTAAGACCTTTCCAGGCCCCAGGCTTTGTACACCATTTCCATCAGGTGGTAAGTCCTTCCCTGCTCAAGACTGGCAAATGTGTCCTTTTCCTTTCAGAAAAGGCCTCGCTGGGTCTTTGTGTAGAAGCAAATAATTCTTTAGTGGGCTTCCATAACTGCTTCAAAAATATTCACATATAAAATATTTCACCAAGCCTTTGACTACAAGTCCTACATTGCAGATGCTGTGCACAACTCTTTATTGAAGCCAGTACTTAGCAAAAGGCACTCAAAACAATGGAGCAAACAATCATTCCCAAAACAACCTAGGCTCAGTGTGTGAGAACTGGTCTAAGAGGCCATGGGGCTGAAAAAAGAGGCAGACAGAACTAGGATTGATGAAGGCAAGTTAATGGGGAGTTACTGACTGATGCATGGCCCAAGTGGAGCCCAATAAACTTGCACAATCCTGGATCTGCTGTCTCTTTGTTAAGTGTCACGTCACCTTCGGACCAGTTCTCATGTCCAGGGGCCAAAATAGCAAACTCAGAACATTTGACAGCTTTGTTTGGGTTGTTAAAGAAAACCCCAGGCAGATGCAGTACTTATGTAAATAATTATCAACAGTTCATCTTGTGTAAGGCTATTTCCCATTGAGGCCAAGATATCTTCTCTTGCTCCTGCAACTATGGACCTGTGATCAGTTGACAATGGTGAACTCACTTTGCTGCAGCTCTTCTTGTCCTTCGCTTTTGTGAGGGTTCTTCTGGAGACTCCTCTTCTTCCTCCTCCAACTCCTCATCATTCCCTGCAGAAGGTTCCTCTTCAGTTTCTTCTGCTGTCATCCCTCTGCCTTTTCTCCGAAGATCCTGGGTTGGAGCAACTTGCAGATCTGCTGGATAATACTCATTGCTATAGCAGGAATAGGACAAGGACAGAGATGAGGAGTGCATGCTAAGTGGAAAGATCCTAATTCTATTTGTGAGAGAGGCATCAGAATCACACAGAGAAAGGACACTATACCTCAGTCAAACTTCTTACATAAATATTCTTTTTTATTGAGTCCTACATGGCCAAGTCAATTACTGACTGCAGAAGACAGTTCATTTCAGATTGAACTGAAATTTATCTTGTCTCTAGCACCACAAGTGGAGAGAGGTGACATTATTATTATTATTGTTGTTGTTGTTTGCCAATTGTGGAGCTTGAGCTTTGGGCCTGGGCTCTGTCCCTAAGCTCTTCAGCTCAAGGCTAGTGCTTTACCACTTGAGCCAAAGTGCCACTTCCAGTTTTCTGGTGATTAACTGGAGATAAGAGTCTCACGGACTTTCCTGCCTGGGCTGGCTTTAAACTGCAATTCTCAGAACTCAGCCTCCTGAGTAGCTAGGATTACAGGCATGAGCCACTGCCACCCAGTCAGATACCCGGCCAGATGGATTATTTAATACTGTTAAAAGTATTAGGACCATGCCATCCTGTTATTCCAGATGCATTTTTCTCTTGAAAGTGTCCTTTCAAAAAAAGTACTGTCCTTTCAAATAGCAAATCTGGAGGCATTATACCACCTAACTATAAAACATACTACACAGTTATGATCTACAACATAGTGCTGGTATAAAATCAGACACACAGACCAAAGAAGACCCTTCAAGTAAACCCACACATCTATGGCCAACTGACTTTTCAACGAAGGTGCTAAGAACATACTGGAGAAAGGACAGTCTTTCCAATAAATGGTGCTACAAAAATCAGATATCTACATGGAGAGACTGAAATGAGCCTCCTATCTTCCATGATTTAGAAAAGTCAACAGAACATGGACTCCAGATGTATAAGTAAAACTCAAATTACTAGATGAAAGTAGAAAATGACAGCATAAGAAAAATGCTCAGGACATTGGAATGGGCAAGAATTTCATTCTTTTTCCAAGACCTCCTCAACAGGAAACAAACGCAGAAAGAGACAAATGAGATTACATAAAACTAAAACCCTCCAGTATATCAAAGGAAACCATCAACAGAGTGAAGAGACAACTTACAGGATGGAAGTAAGTGTAGGCAAAGTATACACATCGGATGGGAGGGGATGGGATTAATATCCAGCATATATGAGAAACTAAAATAACTCAACAGAAAACAAAACGAAGAAAATGTGATTTAAAAATAGCCAATGGGAGCTGGGAAGGTGGCTCAGTGGTAAAGAGCTTGCCTTGCATGCATGAGACCCTGGGTTCAATTCCTCAGCACCACATAGGCAGAAAAAAAAGCCGGAAGTGGGTGCCATGGCTCAAGTGGTAGAACGCTAGCCTTGAGTTGAACAGCTGAGGGACAGTGCCCAGGCCCAGAGTTCAGGCCCAATGACTGGACCCCCCAAAAACAAAAATAGTCAATAGTTGGGCTGGGAATGTGGCTCAGTGATAAAGTATTTGCCTAGTATGCATGAAGCTCTGGGTTCCATTCCTCAGTACTACATACATAGAAAAAGCTAGAAGTGGTTCTGTGGCTCAAGTGGTCGAGTGCTAGCCTTGAGCAAAAAAAACCCCGAGGGACAGCACCCAGGCCTTGAGTTCACAAGCCCCAGCATTGTCAAAAAAAAAAAAAAAAAGCCAACAGACCTAAGTAGACATTCCTCAAATACAGACAAAAAGTATATGAAAAAGTGCTTAACACCACTAATCATCTTGGAAATATATCTTTTTAAACTGCTCTTTTTTTTTTTTGTCTTTTTCTTTTTGGTACTGGGGACTAAACCTAGGACTTTGTACTTGCTAGACAAGCATTTTGCCATTGAACTACATCTCAGCCCTGGGAAATGGGGTGGGTGGGTGCATGCGTGCATGTGTGCATGCAGGCGAGATGCGCTAAGAATTGAATTCAAGGCCTGGGTACTGTCCCTTAGTTTTTTTTTTTTTTTTCTTAGGGTTGGCACTCTACCACTTAGGCCACCCCTCTACCCTTCACTTCTGGCTTTTTGCTGGTTAACTGGAGATAAGAATCTCACAGACTTTTCTGCCAGATTGCGTTTGAACCACAATCCTTAGATCTCAGCCTCCTGGGTAGCTAGGATTACAGGCATGAACCACCAATGTCTGGCTCATTTTAGTTTTAAAGTAGACTCTTACATAGCATACCAGTCAATGCTCCATAAAGCTGCTATTATTCTTTGAGCACATTCCTTAGCATTAAAGAAAAATATCCAAAGGCTCAAAATAGTAGTTGTAGTTGGGTTACTAAACAATATCTTCCAGTCATCACATACAGGCAGTAAAACAATGAACAAGAAGACATTAGTCAAACTCTATATAGACTTTCATCCTAGGTGACCTGGTATATTTTTGTTAGCACCATTTGTGTTTTGATTGATATAAAACTAGTTTAGTTAGTTGTTACCGAACAAAGCCATTGCTTTTGTAGACATAGCAATGATTTGAAAACATAAAGAACTCAGCTATTGTGGGAGGTTAATAGTTCTTACCTCCCTCTCCTCATACCCCAGGAGGGACTTATTCCTAGAAGAGGATACGTACTTGATAAATCTCAAGAAGAGCGGGGAAAGCTCCCTGGACCGTGGTTCTACTCTCTCTGGGAATTTTGCCAGAGCTCGCCAAAGCAAAAATCGAAAGTTGGTATGGTCCAGTCTTTCCCGACAGTCAGTTTTCAAGGTTAACTGCTGCTGGTAAAGAGCTCCAACATCCCCTTCCTGGGTCTGCTCCCAGCTTTCATCTCCAATGGAGTTCACCTCATCTCCCATATCCATTTGCAGTTCTTTCTCTGCAAGAGAGAAAAAAAAGTCATCACCATTACCAGACAGCAGACATTTCTAATACCACAAGGAAAACAAGCCACACTGCAAAGTTATCAAGGGTAATACATCTCCCCATTGTTTCCTGATTTCACACACGGTTAGGTAGTAAAAATTAAACACTGACACATTCTCTTTCCCTCCCAGCCCTATCCTTACATACCAGCATGTGTAGCTGCTTTATCTAGATGTTCATAGTAGACTTTCCAAAACTGCTTATTTTCCATTTCATGGGCATGAGAACTAGGAGAAAAGGTCACAAAATAAGGGGATAGGGCAAAAGGGTATAATTAAAAATGCTAATGGTTAGCCCTCAATGCCTGCACAAATTATTTTTATAATCATAAAAGACTAAAGGGTATTTTTAAAAACTCAAGGCTAAGGAGGAATGACACTGTCGCACAAAAAATGTACTTATTACCTGACTTATGAAATGATAACCTTTCTGTACAACAACTTAATAATAGCAATACAATTATATTAAAACAAACTTCAGGGCTATAAGTTCACCAGGCAGAGCTCTACTGCTTGAGATGCAACTTTGGCCTTTTTTACTGTTTTTGAATTAAGGTCACTTTTTGTCCAGGCCAACACAGACCTCAATCCTCCTATTTTATGTTGGGATAACAGGTATACAAAAATACATTCAGCCTTCTTTCTTGAGATAAGGGTCTCACTAACTTTTTGGGTGTATGCTGAAACTGAAATTCTACTGATCTCAGCCTGCCAAGTAGCTAAGATGACAGGCACACAAAACTATATACAGGTATTGACTGAGATGGGGTTTTGCAAACGTTTGCCTGGGCCTGGACTGAACTTCCAAATTTCCGCAACCTAAGTGAGCCACTAGTGCCCAGCCTTAAAACAAATTATTTGCATGTTAACTATACAAAATAATGAGTTTCATTATAACATTTTCATAACTAAAGTATCTTTTTAAAACTGTAAGTAAGTTGGATATTAGTAGCTCACACTTATAATCCTAGCTACTCAGAAGGCTGAGAGCTATGGATCACAGTTCAAAGCCAGCCCAGGCAGGAAAGTCTGTGAGACTTCTTTTTTTTGCTAGTCCTGGGCCTTCAACCTGGGCCTGCACTGTCCCTAAGCTCCTTTTGCTCAAGGCTCAAGGCTAGCACTCTAACACATAAGCTACGCACCACTTCCAGCTTTTTCTGTGATTAATTGGACATAAGAGTCTCACAAACTTTCCTCCCAGGGGTGGCTTTGAACCACAATCAGATCTCTGCCTCCTGAATAGTCAGGATTACAGGCATGAGCCACTGGCACCCTGCTCTGTTGAGACTCTTATCACCAATTTATCACCAAAAAGCCAGAAGTAGAGCTGTGGCTCAAGTGGTAGAGTACTAGCCTTGAGCACAAAAGGTCACAAACAAAAGCTCAGTGCCAGGCTTTGAGTTCAAGCTCCTGGACCAACAACAACAACCAAAAAAAAAAAAAAAAGGAGAGGACCAGATATGGAGCTCACACCTTAAATTCCAGCTACTCAGGAGGCAGAGATCAGGAAGATTACAGTTATAGACCAATACATTAGCAAAAATAGCAAAAACATTTTTAGTAAGATCTCACCTCAACCAATAAACTGAACATGGTGGTGGTGGGCACTTGTCACTTGTAATCCCAGCTACTCAGGTAGCAAAAGCAAGTGGCACTCAAATACACTTATTATGACAGAGGCAAAATAAACATTCATTTAACATGAAAAATACACTTTAGAACTTAACAAGGAAACATGAGGTGAATTACATTGTGTTTGCATAGCTTGGTATCTGAGCAACAATATTATAAAATTTTTTATATTTTTGTCATTAATCCTTTAAAACTGCATAAACCTTAACTAGGCATAAATTATATGTTTATGCTTTAACAAATTTCCAAACTTAAAGATGTGCCCAACAGGAAGACAGCCCAGCCACTATGGACAACCATTAAAGGCACTCTGTGAATGAACAACATGTTTAACACCTGGTAGACAAGTCAGGAAGACCATGAGTTCAAAGCCTGCATCCTAGCAACATGCTGTGTCAAAAAATGAAGCCCCAATAGTTTTGACAATAGGCCACTGAAATGTACATGCTAGATTCTTCCTGTCTTCTGAAGGCACAAGACAAAATAAAGTTGATGCTAGAAAGCACCTGTTTTTACCATACTGGTTTGATGGTTTGAATAGCAGGAAAAGGTCATAAAATGGAAATGGATGTTTACTTTACTTCTGACAAACAGAACTGATACTCAGTATTTTCAAAGGCCACACAAGACATATTTCCAATCCAACAGAAAGCAAAAGCAACAGGTGGGTACTGGTGGCTCATCCCTGTAATCCTAGCTATGCAGGAGGCAGAGATATGAGGATCATGGTTCCCAGCAGGAAAGTCTGTGAGACTCATCTCGAATTAACCACAAAAAAAAAGCTGGAGCTATGGACCAAGTGGTAGAGTACTGGTCTTGAACAAAGAAGCTCAGAAACAGCACCCAGAGTTCAGGCACAAAAGACCCAGCTCTAGCACAAAACAAGAAGGAGAAAAAAAAAAAAAAACCAGCAAAGTAGACAATCTGAAGACTGATGTCTGTAAAAGGACAAATTTTATTTATTTTTTTTCTGGTCCAGTCGTGGGGCCTGAACTCTGGGCCTGGGCACTGTCCCTCAGCTCTTCAGCTCAAGACTAGCTCTCTACCACTTGAGCCACAGCGCCACTTCCAGCTTTTTTTCTTTTTGCTTATGTGGTGCTGAGGAATCGAACCCAGGGCCTCAGGCATGCAAGGCAAGCGCTCTACCACTGAGTCACCTTCCCAGCTCTGTAAAAGGACAATTTTTACATGTAGGCAACATACATATTTTCTATGGGACTAGTAAAGTCCTTTGTTAAAGCTAAAGGGATTTTTATACAGGAGAGAGTAAAGGTTTTGAAATTTAATTTTCAAAGGATGGATCAATGATCAATATAAATAAAAGTATGCAATAAACAACTTAAATGATAGAGAAGTATCATAAAAGTCCTCCAAGGTTATTTCAATGTACACAGTAAGATACATATAATGTTTCAACTATAAAAAACTAGACATAATAGAAAGAAAAAAATTGATGCTATTTTTTTCTTCCTTTTTGTTCTACAAAGGAATTATGGTATTTATAAGTACTGCATACAACCATTTATCTAAGTCACACCTAGGAGTATAACCCTGGGTCATCACTTTGTACCATTTAAATTGTAATTGCTTCAACCACTTAACTCACACTTACCTTATGAGTTCAATAACAGGATCCCACAGAGCACTGAAGTTGACATATAACATGCCCAACAAATAACGAAGTGGTACCTGCAATCATAAAAGACTTTCTTAGTAATGGATGATAAGCTTCAGTGGAAAAAACAGGTGTTTTATCACTTGAGTCATGCCTCCAGCCCTTTTTGCTTTGGCGCTTTCTCTCCCTTTTTCTTTTTTTCTCGCTCTCTTCCTGCAGTATAAAGGAGTTGTCAGGACAGTTTGTGGACACAATGCATTATGATCAACGTCACCCTTTCATCACTCTCTCCCACACATCCCAACCCCATCCTGTTCCTGAATTTTCTTAATTTTGTAGGATATGCGTTGAATTTTATGACTCTACTCCCCCCTCACCCCCGAATTGCTTTCTGAAATAGGATCTCAATTTATGACTGGGTTACCATGGACCACAATCCCATTTATGTTTCCTATATGGCTGGGATGACAGGTATGTGACACTATGCCCACATAAACTTTTTGCCCAAGCTAGCCTCCAACTGAGATCCTCTCAATCTCTGCCTCTGGAGCAGATAGGATTCCATGAATCTGGCTTGTCAATTACCTCTTAGAACAACACTCATTATTACCAACAGCCCCTTATACTAGGTGGTATCAATTGTATTATTACTTTGGGATGTGATGTTGGTACATATTATAGTAGTAATTTCTTTTTCAAATACATATCATGAAAGATGATAGCATCTGAAACTGGTAAAAATTTGTCGGATTAAAAGGGGAATGCTGGGCTGGGGAAGGTGGCTCAGTGGCAAAGCGCTTGCCTTGCATGCCTGAGGCCCTGGGTTCAATTCCTCAGCACCACATAAGCAGTAAAAAAGCTGGAAGTGGCACTGTGGCTCAAGTGGTAGGGTGCTAGCCTTGAGCTGAAGAGCTGAGGGACAGAGCCCAGGCCCAGAGTTCAAGTCCCAGGACCGGACCCCCCCCAAAAAAAGGGGGGGAATGCCTTCATATAGTTTTGCTCCCAAAGGTGTTCATGATGTATCTATCTACCAGGGCTTAAGCTAAAAACCTCTGGACAAAAAACATAGGAAGCTGATGGTTGCTTTAGACAAAAAAAAAAAAATTCAGGTGGGTGCTGGTGACTCACACCTCTAATCCTACTCCGAAGGCTGAGATCTAAGGATCATAGTTTAAAGCCAGCCCAGGCCGGAAAGCTCAAGAGATTCTTATCTCCAATTAACTGACATATCCAGAAGTGGAGCTGTGGTGCAAAGTGGTAGAGCACTAGCCTTAAGCAAAAAGAATTCAGGGACAGCACCCAGACCCTGAGTTCAAGCCCCACAGCAGACAATCAAATAAAATTCTTGTTTTTGAAGTTATTTTGTCATAAAAACATATTTGAATGATAATTTCAATTTCTTGTCCCCAACCCTGGGAAATCTGTGAAGGTAGAGGCTGGGTTTTTATATCACACTCACCCAGTCATAGGTAATCAATATGATTAACTTTAGGGTAGGGCAGGGTGGTACATGCCTATAATCCCAGTACTCTAACATTACAGGCTCATGGTTATAAACCTGCTATTCCATAAGCAGAGACTGGGAGAATGAGGTTACAGGCAGCCCAGGTAAAAAGTTCACTCGACTTCTCTGAAGCAACAGCTGGTGCAGAGGAGCACAGCAGTCCTCTCATCCCAGATACATGGGAGGCTAGATCACGAGGCCCACAGTTTGACTCTAGCCCAGACCAAAAAGTTCTTGAGACCCCCATCTCAAGAGAAAAAGCTGACCATAAAAGCACGTGCCTGTTGTCCTAGAATAAACAGAAGGATCTGAAGTCCCTGTCAGCTTGGGTAAAAGTGACCCTATTTCCAAACTGACCGGTGCAAAAAAAGGCTAGAGTCATAACCTAACTGATAGAGGGCTGTCTAGCAAGCACAGAGTTCTGAGTTCAAGCCCCAGTACAGCCCATAAATAGAATGGACGATAGATGGATGGAGCAGAGTGGAGGAACTCCTTTAGTATATTTCCCCAGCAAAGAATGAAAACAAAGGAAGAAGCAGCAGCAGCAGCAGAAGAAAACAGAGCACTACTCAGAGCACTTCTTTACCTCCTGTAAGGGCCCATGAGGAAGAGCAATCTGCACAACATCATGCCTCAGTTTCCGCAGGTGCAGTAGCTTCTCCCTGTAATCGCTCACAGTTGCTGGAACAAGTTCTGCCTGGCGTAATATTGTGAAGGCTGACTGGCGCTCCGACAGACCATCACCATCACCCTGTACAAACAGAGCCCGGAGGCAGTCAATAGCATGACACTCCACAAAGAACATGACATTTTTTCTTTTTTTTAGGGGTCCGGTTGTGGGGCCTGAACTCTGGGCCTGGGTGCTATCCCTCAGCTCTTCAGCTCAAGGCTAGTGCTCTACCATTTGAGCCACTGCGCCACTTCCGGCTTTCTTCTTTTTGCTCATGTGGTGATGAGGAATCGAACCCAGGGCCTCATGCATGCAAGGCAAGTGCTCTACCACTGAGCCACCTTCCCAGCCCAGAACATGAAATTTTTTGTTGTTGTTGTTTTAAAAAACTCTTTTTTTTGCCAGTCATGGGGTTTAAACTCTGGGCCTGGGCACTGTCTCTGAGCTCTTAGATCAAGGCTACTGCTCTACCACTTTGAATCACAGTACCAGTTCCTGTTTTCTGGTGATTAACTGGAGATGAGTCTCAAGGAGGGCTGGGAAGGTGGCTCAGTGGTAGAGCGCTTGCCTTGCATGCCTAAAAGAAAAAAGCAAAAAGAAAAAAGCCGGAAGTGGCGCTGTGGCTCAAGTGGTAGAGTGCTAGCCTTGAGCTGAGGGACAGTGCCCAGGCCAGAGTTCAGGCCCCACAACCATACCCAAAAAAAAAAAAAAAAAAGAGTCTCAAGGACTTTCCTGCCCCAGCTGGCTTTAAACCTCAATTCTCAGATCTCAGCCTGCCAAGTAGCTAAGATGACAGGC